ACAAACCTTCTGTTGCATTGTGTCGGGAAACATGCTGTACATGTTTGTACATCTTGGCAGATAAAGATCAGATGAGGCAAGCAATGAAGTGGTTAACCAAATCAGAAAGTTATCATCTCAGACATCCAAAGGCACATCTTGTAAACCTGAGTAAACTTCTTACTCAGAACCGAGCGGGAAAAAAAAGTAAGGGCATGTCTGGGAAGAAGCAAATGACGCTGTCAACAAGTAGTTTGCTTTTTCGCTCAGAGAAGAGGGTATTAGCGAGATCCAGTGCCCAACAAAAGAACAGGAATCTTTCCAATAGTATGAAAAAGGCTTGGATCGAGCCCCAGCTTTCCTGAAAACTAGACTTGCTAATTGCCTCGCTCTTTCACTGTCAAAACCATCATCTCACTGAACTGAAACACCTTTCCAGTATTGCTATGGGGCAGACATTTCCACACCGGTAATACTGGGAGCCACGTTCAACAACAACCAGCAACTCGCTGGCCACCACCTCCCCTATTTGGTATCCCATAATGTTGTCTTGCAAAACAAACAAGCAAACAAAAATGCAGCATTCTGGGATTATTTTTTTTAGGTTTTCATTTGTTTGTTCATTTTTGGAAACAGAGGCCACCTTGTAGCTTACTACCGCTGTAGAGACCATTCTGCTTTTCAGCTAGTGTCACATTTAGACAGTAAATAAGCTTCAGAAATGAAAGATCACATTCTGTTTTGGCATTGCATAAATCAGGAAACACTTCAGCTACATCTGGATAAAATGTGATGAAAGTGACTGAAGAAACCAGCTTTAGCAAGGTAGACTGCAAATAGAGGTCTTTCCCCCAAAGCAAGCGAATTACGCTTATCTTGCATTACCAGGCCATCACTGGAAGTACTGTGCCAGACCCTCAGCTGGCATAAATCAACACGACCCTATTCACTTCAGTGCAGCTGTGTTGATTTATGCGAGCTGAAAAGCATGTACTGGTCAAATAGTGACTATTTCATCTTCTAAAACTGTGAAAGTGGCTTAGAAATAAAAGGCAGTATGTATTACAAAGAAAAAATTAGAAAGTACTACAGAAAGGCTCAAAGTAGGTGTATATTTTATTAAGATTAGTCTAACATAGCCACTCATTTTACTCCATCGGAGATTTTAGATAATATTCTCTGTTGTTACATACATGTGTATCTCTTGAGTATGCACCCAAGTATTTGTGCAATTTAATATTGCTGTACTATTCCCAAATTAAGATGTAAGGTTCAGACCGTGGGTTCAACTAACGAATTTATCATCGGTGTTTTTTTAAAGTCCCTGTGGCTGTCAGAACATGAAACATCAGACTCAAAAGCAGGCCCACACAGCGAACTTAAGCGTTCAGATTTGCAGCATAGTGTCACGTCTTAAGAACTGCTCCTGTTACAGTCTTTCTCTTACACAGAAAAAGAGCCAGACAAAAGTAGCAAATCAAACCAGCTTCTCAAAGCCAGCACTTCTCTCAGAGCCTGGTAATTTTGAGAAATAGGAAACCCCTCATATTAAACTTAAGCACTCTTTACCCTTCTGAACTCTGTGTAGACTTCCCCATCATTAGACAGGCTATGTGAGATTAACTACTGGTGCTCCTTTTCGAGTTAAAGCCAGGAAGGATAAGGAGAAGAACTGGTATTCTGAACTAAGCAGTGTTTATTCCTAAATTCCTTTCTTGGGGAAGCAGTTCTTGAGATCAGACCGTTCTCATTTTCACTAGGCTCGCGTCTCGCTGCCCCAGCAGTACAAGATCTGAACACGACGTAAAAACACAAAGCAAACTCCTTACAATTGTCTGCTCAACTCCGTCTCAGTGACCAGCTGCTAACAGCCACTTGGCAGACAACTGCAATTCATCACCCTTCACCACGAGTACGGGTACTTCTGTATTTGAGCACAGCCCGTACTCAAGCTGCCAGGTACTAAAAATGCATTCTGTTCATCCTTTCCATTGCCTCACAGTCTAACGCAGCTGATGGATGCCTGTCTACAAGAAATACTAGGATTTGTCTCTTCACAGTCTTTCCATGTAAATACATTCACTGCAGAAACTTCACAAAACTTCTCAGAGGTATGACGGACACTTCAAATACTGAGGGGGGGGGGAAAAAAGCACCGTCTGCCTGGACAGACCAACTCTGCACCTCAGCAAGTGGCACTGCCACCACCCTTTGCTCTCCACTGACTCCCCGGCATTATGTTTTCTGTGGACAAGATGCTCTTGGTATCACCATCAGCGGGGAGCTGCATTCAATCAACTCCGTGTGACACTAAGCCATCTGGCAAAATGGTACGAAACACTGGAATAAAATATGTATTGGTTTATTTGGACATTTCAAATCTTTGAAATCAGTAGATTAAAAAATAAAGGCCAAATCATAAGGCATTTTAAAACTTCCATGTATATTACCATCTCTGCATAGGAATTAGAAATCTCAATTAAATCCATTTTTTCCTCACAAAGCACCTTTGCAGTCTTCAGAAACATCAGGGCAGTGGTGAATGGCTATCAAGAAACAACCTCAAAACTACTTTGCTTCCATTTTCTTCTCTGTGTAAGTTTTCAGACATTGTCCCATAAAAACACTAAGCAAATGGCACTGGGCTGTGGTTACAGTTGCTTCCATTGCATGCACTGCCACTAAGGCTAACGGAGCCAACCGAAACCATTTCTAAGATGGAATTCCTGTTTGTGGCGTAAGGGGCTTAAAACTGTCCCCAGCACATACACACAACCAAAAGTACAGCCTGAGACTTCAAAGCACAGACTTGGGTTCTCCACGGGGACGTCTACTGAAAAAAGACTTCGGGCTGGAAGCTCCATCGCAGCAGTGTCAAAGCTGGAACAAACGTCAGAGGCATCAAACTAGGGACAAGCACTGAAATTTCCCTCCTTCAAAATGGCACAAGCCTACAGAGAAGAAGCATAAATGGTCAATGTGTTCCTATAATTTCCAGCTCATGCTGTAGCTCCTTCGTGTAGACTAGCAATCATGCCTGGCTAATATTTGTCATTGCCTATTCCCTCATCCTTTCTGTTGGTCAGAAGGTTTTAATTGTATAATGATAACTCTGAGTAATTTGGACATCAGTTTATACAGTGCACCAAGAATACATTGCAGTGAACTGTTTAAAAGAAAGCAAAGTATTCAGGCTTCTAAATGAAACAGCCCAGTGAATTTGATTGCCTTTTCATTTCGAACTGGTACTGTCATCTGCTCCAGTGAAGTGATGCACCAACTTCTCCCACCAAGTATTTGATGCACCACTTACTGTGGATGCTGCCTACCCGGTGTACTACAAGGTTTCACAGCTGTGGCTCTCAAAGACCGAAATAAATATTTAAATCCTATTGACACTGACTCCGTTTTTTCTCTTCTTTCTTTTTTTTTTCAGAGCGTTGCAATTATTATATTTGTAAGTATGATTAAAATTATTATATTTTGTATCAGGCTATAATTTATATAATTTCATTCCTGTAAGATTTGCATTTATTTTTCATTTACAAACAGACCACAATAAAAGGCTTCTGCACTGTGAATCCAGTTTTCTGTGTTAATTTAACATTTAATTTTAGAGTGCTTTCTACAGTCGCAGTACTTTAAGGGCAGAAGAAAGATGTCATTGTATAAGACACTTTTAATCAACTGTGGACTTTTACTCAAACTAAATACCAATATTAATTTTTCACAAAGTAGTGCAAGAGGAAAAGGGGTGATGAAGTGGGATTTAAGCTGCATTGCTACGAAGGATTAAACAGAAAGGCATTTTAAAGCCATGTGTTGAAAGCCATCGTGTCAGAAGGTACAGGACATAATCCCCAAATTTTTCAAGCTACAGCAGGCTGTAGTCATCATTCTTACGAATTTAGAGGATCTATTATTTCTGCCTCCTAATTTGACATTTATATGAAAACAAAAATCCTGAGCACAAGCCACACCTGAAATTCCACCTGTTACGCAGTTGCTCACCTACACGTTTACAAAACCTGCCTTTTAGTGTGTCATTTTAACCTTTCAGCCTTCTTATGGAAAGCAAAAGAAAACTCAGAGATGTTATGATGTCAACGCAGTCTCCAGAGCACCCCTACACG